CATCAGAGTGAACAGGCAACCTACAGAATGGGAGAAAATTTCTGCAGTCTACTCATCTGACAAAGGGCTAATATCCAGAACCTATAAAGAACTCAATCAAATTTACAAGAAAAAAACAAACAACCCAATCAGAAAGTGGGCAAATGATATGAACAGACACTTCTCAAAAGAAGACATTCATACAGCCAACAGACACATGAAAAAATGCTCATCATCACTCACCATCAGAGAAATGCAAATCAAAACCACAATGAGATACCATCTCACACCAGTTAGAATGGCAATCACTAAAAAGTTAGGAAACAACAGGTGCTGGAGAGGATGTGGAGAAATAGGAACAATTTTACACTGTTGGTGGGACTGTTCAACCATTGTGGAAAACAGTGTGGCGATTCCTCAAGGATCTAGAACTAGAAATACCATTTGACCCAGTCATCCCATTACTGGGGATATACCCAAAGGATTATAAGTCATGTTGCTATAAAGACACATGCACACGTATGTTTATTGCAGCACTATTCACAATAGCAAAGATTTGGAATCAACCCAAATATCCATCAGTGACAGACTGGATTAAGAAAATGCGACACGTATACACCATGGAATACTATGCAGCCATAAAAAAGGATGAGTTTGTGTACTTTGTAGGGACACATCTGCTCTCCTGCCCCAGCAGTTTCTTCTGCTCACTCTCATCACCTTTCCTGCTCCCAGGCTCGCCTGGTCATGTGTCCTTCACTATCCTCTGAGTCTCCCTCTTTCCAAGCCACCTCCACTCTACTTGACACACTCTCCCTTAAGATACCAAAGTATGGCCGGGCGCGGTGGCTCAAGCCTGTAATCCCAGCACTTTGGGAGGCCGAGACGGGCGGATCACGAGGTCAGGAGATCGAGACCATCCTGGCTAACATGGTGAAACCCCGATTCTACTAAAAAATACAAAAAACTAGCTGGGCGACGTGGCAGGTGCCTGTAGTCCCAGCTACTCGGGAGGCTGAGGCAGGAGAATGGCCTAAAACCTAGGAGGCGGAGCTTGCAGTGAGCTGAGAGATCCGGCCACTGTACTCCAGCCTGGGCGACAGAGCAAGACTCCGTCTCAAAAAAAAAAAAAAGATACCAAAGTACACAAGCTCAAGTCCCTGCACCTCACCTTTACTCCCAGACGTGGGAGGGAGATGACATGAAGACCCAAACGCCACTTGGCAAGAGATCTGGGGTGTGCAGAGGGGCAGGTCTGAGGTTGTGGAAGCTGCATTGAAGCTGGCTATTGAATGTGACTCTGAGCTGAGGCCTCTTCTTGAAGCTCCAGACCAGGAGCCAGCTGCCAGCTGGACCCTCCATTTGGTGCCTCAGAGAAACCTCGCACTCTGTAGGTCTAACTCCGAACCCAGAAAATCCCCCCATCTCAGCCCTGTCTCTTAGGGAAAGCACCACCTCAGACCCAGTTCTGCACCAAACCCACATTTGAGTCATGGGGCTCCTGCCCTGCACAGTGAGCACTCTGGATAAGCCAGTGCCGAGGGGGAAAGAGCTCTAAATGCCAAGCCAAAACATGAGTTTCAACTCCACCTCCAGCTCTGAGAGCTGTGGGCAGGGAAGGGCCCTAGTCCAGTTTGCTGTAGAGAGACCAGTCTGCCACTGCAGGGCACATGGATGGCAGGGGCAGAATGTGGGTGGAGAGAACAGAAGGTGGGCAGGGTGGAGGAGGCAGGGACATGGCTGTAGCCATGGAGATGGGAGGACAGACAGGACTTGGTGGCCACTTGGATGAACCAAGGGAGGGGTCTGGAAGAGACACCCAGTTTTGTATCAGATGTGTAGAGCATGGGATGCTATTCACTGATCGAGAGAGGAGGAGGAGGAAGAGGTATGGCATGGGAGGAGGTAGCTGAGCTCTGTCATTAATGTCATTTGAAGTCCCCACAGAGAGCCAGACCCGCCAGCGCCTTCGCTGCTTCAGCCGGCCCTCAGGGTGGCTGTGCTCCTTGGCCCTCTCGGCTCCCGCTTCGTAGCTGTCAGCTGCAGTGGGGGACAGTTGCACAAGGGCCCAGCATGTCTGTGTGTTTACCCAGGGGACTGCTGCATGGCCCATGCCGAGCAGAAGCTGATGGATGACCTTCTGAACAAGACCCATTACAACTACCCGATCCGCCCAGCCATCAGCTTGTCACAGCTCATCTCCATCGAGACGGAGCTCTCCCTGACCCAGTGCAGCAGCGTGGTAGGTGCAGAGGGAACCTGTGGCTCAGGCTCAGGTGAAGAGGCAACTCATGCCCAAGCCCCAAGCAATCAATATCCAGAGGAATGAAATGACTAGAGTTGACTTAGACTCATCAATACAGGGCGGGGAGGCCAGAGGAGAGTCCATGAGGTTTATAGGTGTCCAATATTTAATGAGGTCATGGTTTTGTCAACAAGAAAGAAATGAGGGTGGGAGCGGGATCACCACTGGCTAGGCAACCAATGGGCCTGCATAAACTCTGCTCCACTGAGTCTCCAGCACAACCATAAGCTCCTCCTCCTCATCCTCCCAGCCCCGCCCTACTCTCTCCCCCAGCTTGCTCAGCAGGTGACCTTACAGGCTCCCTACTTATTGGGGGAAATACAAAACCACACTTGGGGAACTGACGGGTACAGAGGCCCAGGTGTAGTGGTGGGACCACAGGCAGTGCAGCACCTACTGAGCCAGGTGGGTAAGGGTGTGGAGAGTGGGCATGGCTGCTGCAGGCATGGAAAGCAGGCGCAGATATGGAAAGGAGGCGCAGATGGCGGCTCTCCCAGGGACCATTGTCAGGGTCTCCATGTGTAGACATGTGCAGAGGTGGGGGTGCTGAGGAGGAAGGAGGTGCAGGGAATTTCTCATCTTCTCTCTACTGCCTCTGAGTTGGAGATGACAGAGGGAGCCGTGGCCCACTGTAAACTAACACAATGTCCTCACCCACAGGGTTAGAATCCCCCCCCTGGAGGCAGCTCTGAGAGGAGCAGTCACAAGTGAAGAGTGCCGGGTGCTTGTGTCCTGCAGGGGGAAGGAGGTCACCAAGGGGGCTGACCCTCCTCTGGCCAGGTGGCTGCCTCCTGACACACCAGCCTCTCTCTCTAGCATGGTGGCCCGCACACACTCAGCCTGTCAAACCTACAGACCCCAAGAAGGCTTTGGCCAAATTAATGAGTGACTCCCTCTCCCAAGAGGAAGCACAGCTGAAGGATGTGGAAGGCAGTAGAGTTGTGTGTGCTCCACCCCCTCTCTCCACAGTCGGACCGGAAAGAAGGGGGCTTTCAGCCAGGCTCACCCAGGCTGGGGTCTGAGTGTCACTGTCCAGCTGTTGGCTTCTTGCTTAATGGGTGAGCCCAGCTGCTCCTGTGCAGTTTCCACCCTAGTGAGGGTGAACAAGCAGGCAAGTTCCATTTCTGAAAGCGTGGATATACAGTAAGTATTAGGCTGTGGGCTGCTGGGCCAGGAAAGGGTGTTTATTTTTCAGGGTTTATTTATCTATTGACTTGATGAGGGAGGGTTGTAGGTACAACCAGTTTAAAGATGGAAATTTTGAGAGAGCAGGCAGGGATTTTGCGCTGGGGAAAGCAAGCAGGCTTGTCAAAGCAGCTGTTTTGGGGAGGCCAGAATCCTGTACCAATGTCCTCAGCACGTTCCTCAGCTGCTGGGGGAGTGCCAGATGGGATTAAAGCACAGAACTTTCTGGATGATAGAAATGTTCTGTATCTTCAAAGGAGGTGGGTTACATGGGTAATGCATTTGTTAAAACTGATCAAAATGTAAACCAGATCTGTGCATTTCACTGAATATAAATTATGCCTCAAATTAAAAACATGTTTTAAAAGACAGATGGGCCGGATGCAGTGGCTCACGCCTGTAATCCCAGCACTTTGGGAGGCTGAGGCAGGCAGATCACTTGAGTCAGGAGCTCGAGACCAGCCTGGAAAACATGGTGAAATCCTGTCTCTATTAAAAATATAAAAATTAGCCAGGCATGGTGGCACACGCCTGTAATTCCAGCTACTCAGGAGGCTGAGGCAGGAGAACTGCTTGAACCTAGGAGGCGGAGGTTTCAGTGAGCAGAGATCATGCCACTGCACTACAGCCTGGGTGACAGCGAGAATCCATCAAAAAAAAAAAGGACAGATGAAGGTTTTCAACTTTCACTAAAGGCAGAGTAGCTTTTACAGATTAGCCTCCCCACAAGAGCAGTTAGAAAAACTGGACTAAAATGTGCCCCAGCAAAAACAATTGTTTGAAGGTAATTGGAGACCTCAGCCAGGACTTGTGTGACCAGTCCTAGGAGGTGACCCTGAGTCTGTAGTGCTTTTCCCACATTTGGTGATTGGTAAACAGTAGAGGACTAAGAGGCTAAGAAAGTGAGTATGAAGTTGTAGTTAACAGGCTGGAAAGCCTAGCTGAATATTCGGCACTCTCACAGGCTGAAATGACCTAATGAGAATTTGGGTCCCACTAAGGAGACGGGACCCTGGAAGGGCCACCCCTAGGAGTCCAAGTAAATACAAAACAGACCACCCATCACAAAAACTAAAACCTTGAACCCAAACTAGATGAAGGTGATCTGCCCTTACTCCAATTGTGTGCCATAAAGTCAAAGTCAATACTCTCTGGAAGCAGGTAAAAGTTTACTAGGAAATGCCATAAGACAAGATAGGACTAAATGAGAAAGACCAAGAAAAAAACCAATAGAAACATAAATGTAAGGAAGAAACTTTTTTTTTTTTTTTTTTTTTTTGGAGACGGAGTCTTGCTCTGTCACCCAGGTTTGAGTGCAGTGGCACGATCTCAGCTCATTGCAACCTCTGCCTCCCAGGTTCAAGCGATTCTCCTGCCTCAGCCTCCCAAATAGCTGGGACTACAGGCACGCACCACCACGCCTGGCTAATTTTTGTATTGGCCAGGCTGGTCTTGAACCCCTGACTTCAGGTGACCCATTCACCTCCGCCTCCCAAATTGCTGGGATTACAGGTGTGAGCCCCTGCGCCTGGCCAGTATTTTGCCACAATTTAAAATAAATACTTTTTTTTTTCAGGTTTGTGCTCAGACTATATTGTAAACAGTCACATGGCAGCTTACTCTTCTCCAGGCCTTGCTGCCAGCTTTTCGCTGTTTATGATCTTTGCCTTCTTGTGGTCTCCTCGGTAGAAGAACGGCATGCAGGGCTTGCTGTAAAGAGCTTTGGAGGGAGAAAGGCAGGGCACTGAGTGCCGTGCAAGCCCTCCCTTGCTCCTACCTGCCCACCTCACCCAAAGGCTCTACTCACCACCCTGCTTGTTGGCAGCTCCAAGATCCTGAGGGACTGGGGTCCCTGGTGCGGACTCATCAGCGGGGTTCTGGGCAGCTGCCTGCAATCCGCCATGCCTCTGGTTACGGTCACCCACAAGCGGAAACACCAGCTCCACCTGGAGGGAAAGGTGGTCCGTTGCCACGCCCATGCCCACGCCCACCTCCACCCCCACCCCCGCAGAGGTGTGGCATGTCTTAGAGGGTCCAGAGAAATCAGAAGGTGGGAAACCAAGAGCATGGGGGGGTCTGGGAGGGACCACCAAGGCAGGCAGCAAAGGAGGGGCAGGAAGTCAGGCTCACCATGGCCTCCTGGCTCTTCAGTTTCTCTGGGATGCTTGGCATGGGCCGAGGTGCCTCCTCCTCCTCCACCTCCTCCCTGTCCACTCCATCTCCTGTGGGGGGTTGCCAGAGGGCTCCTCAGACAACCCAACAAGGGAGGTAACAGTGGGCCCACCTCTGCCCCCACCCTCACTGTGTAACCCTGGGCCAGCCCCTCCCCAGAGGGAAATCAGCAGCTGTTCTTTATTTTTTTTGAAGAGACAACGTCTCCCTGTGTTGCCCAGGTGCAGTCCCACTACCAATCAACACGGGAGTTCTGACAGGCTCCATTTCCGACCTGGGCCAGTTCACCCATTCAGAGGCAACCCTGGTGGTCCCCACTCCCAGGAGGTCACCATATCTATGCTGAACTTAGTGCGGTTACCCGGTCGGCATAATGACCAACTGTTCTAAAGAGCTCTTCCAACTCCTCAGTCCTACGCTCCTAACAGTCCCCCCTTCTTCCTGGGGCTCTCTCCTCTTCCTCTGAGCGGCCTCCCATACCTTCCCCAGCGAGAGCCAGGAGGCTCAACTGGGCCTGCAGCTGCTGGTTCTGCTGGATGGCAGCTTCCAGGTGTTCCTAAGAGGCCAGGAAAGAGAGTGAGACGGCACGGAGGTTGCCAGGTCGTCGCCCTCGGGGCCCCACCCTCATCAACTCCCTCAACTGGGTCTCCTGCAACTATTGGTGGGCCATCTCAGCCACCACTTTGCCCTGAGCTTCCTGCTGCTGCAGCTGGGCAGTGCCTCCTTCTTAGAGGCCAGCTGCTGATAGACGGCCACGTACTGCTGCAGGGGACCCAGGTAATGGTCCCGCTGCTGCTGCAGACTCTGAGCCTCTTGGCTCTTCAGCTCTACCTGCAGGATAGATGTCAGAGTAGCTAGTGGCTGGCTTCCAGATTCTAGGCCCATAAACAGGGTAGCAAGGGCACTGTGGGACTCTGTTACCTGCCCAGGTCCCTGGCCCCTGGCCCCTTCCTCCAGGCCTAAGTGACTGCCTCCCTTGCCTAGAGGCCATGCCTCCCTCCCCAGCCTCAAATCTCACACCCTACCTCCCACCATTCAAACTGCAGGCCACAAACTGGTGGAAAAGCAGAGGGAGCCAACCACCATCTGGTAATTTGTGGTGAGATCGTTCTGTATGATCTCCATGGTTTGCACACGCCTCCACCGGCTCCCTCCAGAGCTCGGCCTTCAGCCCCAGCTCCCCCAGCCTCTCCTCCAGCTCCTGCAGCTTCACCTCCTGCTCCTGCATCTTCTCCTCCTGCTCCTGCAGCCTCACCTCCTGCTCCCACATCTTCTCCTCCTGCCTCTGCATCTTTTCCTCCTGTTCCCGAATCTTCTCCTCCTGCTCTCACATCTCCTCCTCCTGCTTCCGCATCTTCTCCTCCTGCCTCCACATCTTCTCCTGCTTCCACATCTTCTCCTCCTGCTCCCACAGCTTCTCCTCCTGCCTCCACATCTTCTCCTCCTGCTGTCGCAGCTTCTCCTCCTGCTCCCACAGCTTCTCATCCTGCCTCAACATCTTCTCCTCCTGCTCCCGCATCTTCTCCTCCTGCCTCCACATCATCTCCTCCTGCTCCCGCATCTTCTCCTCCTGCTCCCGCATCTTCTCCTCCTGCCTCCACATCTTCTCCTCCTGTTCCCGCATCTTCTCCTCCTGCTCCCGCCTCCCTCCTGTTCCCGCATCTTTCTCCTCTCTGCTCCCGCATCTTCTCCTCCTGCTCCCACATCTTCTCTTCCCGCCTCCATCTTCTCCTCCTGCTCCTTCTTCTCCGGCTCCTGCATCACCCTCCTACCCCACAGCCCTCCTGCCTACATCTTCTCCTCTGCTCCGCATCTCTCCCTCCTGCACCCGCATCTCTCCTCCTGCCTCCACACATCTCTCCTGCTTCCATGACATTTTCCTCCTGCTCATGCATCTTCTCCTCAGGCTCCTGCATTTTCTCCTCCTGCTCATGGCTGTTCTCCTCTCTGCTCCCGCAAGATCTTCTCCTCCCCCGCCCCAAGCCTCCTGCTCCCACATCTTCTCCTCCTGCTCCCGTGATCTTCTCCCTCCTTGCTCCCGCATCTTCTCCTCCTGCTCCCGTGAGATCTTCTCCCTGCTCCCGCAGCTTCTACTACTGCTCCCGCATCTTCTCCTTTGCTCGCATCTTCCTCCTGCTCATGCATCTTCTCTTCCTGCCTCCATATCTTCTCCTCCTGCTCCCGCATCTTCTCCTCTTACTCTCGCATCTCTCCTGCACTAGCATCTTCCTCCTCCTGCTCCCGCAGCCTCCTGCCTCCACACATCTTCTCCTCTCTGCTCCCGCATCTCTCCTCCTGCTCCCAGATCTCTCCTCCTGCCTCCACAGCTTCTTCTCCTGCCTCCACATCTTCTCCTCCTGCTCCCCGAAGATTCTCTTCTGCTCGCATCTTCCTCCTGCTCAGATCTTCTCCTGCTCCCGCATCTTCTCCTCCCTGCTGCAATGTAATCTTCTCTCTTCCTGCCTCCATATCTTCCTGCTCCCCGCAGCTTCCTGCTCCGCATCTTCTCCTCTTACTCTCGCATCTTCTCCTCCTGCCCATGCATCTTCTTCCTGCCTCCATATCTTCTCCTCCTCCTGCTCCCACATCTTCTCTCCTCCTCCTGCTCCCGCAGATCTTCTCTCCTCCTGCTCTCGGTGATCTTCTCTCCTGCCTGCACAGCTTTCCTCCTGCTCCAACAGCTTCCTGCCCCCGCAGCTTCTCCCGCTCTCGCATCTTCTCCTCCTGCCTCCACAACTTCTTCTCCTGCCTCCACATTTTCCTCCTGCTCCTTCTTCTCCTGCTCCCGCATCATGATCCTCCTGCTCCCACAGCCTCCTCCTCCTGCCTCCACATCTTCTCCTCCTGCTCCCGCATCTTCTCCTCCTGCTCTCAAGATCTTCTCCTCCTGCCTCCACAGCTTCTTCTCCTGCTCCAACAGCTTCTCCCTGCTCCCGCAGCCTCCTGCTCCCGCATCTTCTCCTCAGCCTCCAGAGCTTCTTCTCCTGCCTTTCCACATCTTCTCCCTCTCCTGCTCCCGCATCTTCCTCTGCTCGCAGATCTCTCCTCCTGCCTCGCATCATCTCCTCCTGCTCCCGTATCTTCTCCTCCTGCTAATGCATCTTCTTCCTGCCCATATCTTCCTGCTCCCGCATCTTCTCCCTCTGCTCCCCGCAGCTTCTCCGCCTGCTCCCGCATCTTCCTTGCTCTCAGATCTTCCTCCTGCCTGCATCTTCTTCTTCCTGCTCCCACATCTTCTCTCCTCCTGCTCCCGCAGCTTCCTCCTCCTGCTCCCGTGATCTTCCTCCTCCTGCTCCCGCATCTTCTCCTGCTCCATATCTTCCCTCCTGCTCCTTCTTCTCCTGCTCCCGCATCATCTCCTCCTGCTCCCACAGCTTCTCCTCCTGCCTCCACATCTTCTCCTCCTGCTCCCGCAATCTTCTCCTCCCCGCTGCTGCATCTTCCTCCTGCCTCCACAGCCCCTCCTGCTCCCACATCTTCCCTGCTCCCCGCAGCTTCTCCTCCTGCTCCCCGCATCTTCCTGCTCCCGCATCTTCTCTTCCTGCCTCCATATCTTCTCCTCCTGCCCTTCCTTCCTGCTCCCGCAGCTTCCTCCTGCTCCCGCATCTTCTCTCTCTGCCCCGTGATCTTCTCCTGCCTCCATCTTCTCCTCCTGCTCCTTCTTCCTGCTCCCGCATCTTCTCCCCTCTTCTGCCCCGCAGCTTCTCCTCCTGACTCCACATCTTCTCCTCCTGCTCCCGCATCTTCTCCTCCTGCTGTTGCATCTTTCTCCTCCTGCCTCCACAGCCTCCTGCTCCAACAGCTTCTCCTCCTGCTCCCGCAGCTTCCTCTTGCTCGCATCTTCTCCTCCTGCCTCCACAGCTTTCCTGCCTACATCTTCTCGCCTCTGCTCCCGCATCTTCCTGCTCCCGCATTCTCCTCCTGCTCATGCATCTTCTCTTTCCTGCCCATATCTTCTCCTCCTGCTCGCATCTTCCTCCTGCCTCCACAGCCTCCTCCTTCTCCAACAGCTTCTCCTCCTGCTCCCAGCCTCCTCCTGCTCCTTCTTCCTGCTCCCGCATCTTCTCCTCCTGCCCCCGCAGCCTCTCCTGACCTCCACATCTTCTCCTCCTGCTCCCGCATCTTCTCCTCCTGCTGTTGCATCTTCTCCTCCTGCCTCCACAGCCTCCTGCTCCAACAGCTTCCCCCCTGCTCCCGCAGCCCCTCTTGCTCTCGTGATCTCTCCTCCTGCCTCCAGCTTCTTCTCCTGCTCCAACAGCCCTGCTCCGGAAGCCTCCTGCTCCCGTGATCTCTCCTCAGCCTCCAGAGCTTCTTCTCCTGCCTCCACATCTTCTCCTCCTGCTCCCGCATCTTCTCCTCTGCTCTCGCATCTTCTCCTCCTGCTCGCAAGATCATCTCCTGCTCCCGATCTTCTCCTGCCAATGCATCTTCTCTTCCTGCCTCCACATCTTCCTCCTGCTCCCGTGATCTTTCTCCTCCTGCTCCCGCAGCCCGCTCTGCTCCCGCATCTTCTCCTTGCTCAGATCTTCTCCTCCTGCTCATGCATCTTCTTCCTGCTCCCATGATCTTCCTGCTCCCAAGAAGCTTCCCTCCTGCTCCCAGATCTTCTCTCCCCTCCTGCTCCCGCATCTCTCTCTTCCTGCCTCCATATCTCTCCCTCCTGCTCCTTCTTTCCTGCTCCGCATCATCTCCTCCTGCTCCCCACAGCTTCCTCCTCCTGCTTCCACATCTTCTCCCTCTCTGCTCCTGCATCTTCTCCTCCTGCTGTTGCATCTTCTCCTCCTGCCTCCACAGCTTCTCCTCCTGCTCCCACATCTTCTCTCCTCCTGCTCCCGCAGCTCCTCCTGCTCCCGCAAATCTTCTCTTCCTGCTCCCGCATCTTCTTCCTGCTCCATATCTCTCCTCCTGCTCCTTCTTCTGCTCCCGCAGCTTCTCCTCCTGCTCCCGCATCTCTCCTTCTTCTGCTCCGCAGATCTCTCCTGCCTCCATATCTTCCTCCTGCTCCTTCCTGCTCCCGCATCTTCCCTGCTCCCGCAGCTTCCCGACTCCACATCTTCTCCTCCTGCCTGCATCTCTCCTCCTGCTGTTGCATCTTCTCCTCCTGCCTCCACAGCCTCCTGCTCCAACAGCCCTCCTGCTCCCGGAGCTTCTCCTCTTGCTCTCGTGATCTTCTCCTCCTGCCTCCACAGCTTCTTTCTCCTGCCTCCACACATCTTCCTGGCCTCTGCTCCCCGCATCTTCCTCCTCTCTGCTCCCCGTGAGATCTTCCTCCTGCTCATGCATCTTCTCTTCCTGCCTCCATATCTTCTCCTCTGCTCGCATCTTCTCCTCCTGCCTACAGCTTCCTCCTTCTCCAACAGCTTCTCTCTGCCCAGCCTCCCTCCTGCTCTTCTTCTCCTGCTCCCTGCATCTTCCCCTGCTCCCGCAGCTTCTCCTCCTGACTCCACATCTTCCTGCTCCCGCATCTTCTCCTCCTGCTGCTGCATCTTCTCCTCCTGCCTCCACAGCTTCCTCCTGCTCCAACAGCTTCTCCCCTCTGCTCCCGCAGCTTCTCCTCTTGCTCTCGGTGATTCTCTCTCCTGCCTCCACAGCTTCTTCTCCTGTTCCACATCTTCCTGCCCTGCTCCCGCATCTTCCTCTGCTCGCATCTTCCTCCTGCTCTCGGCATCTTCCTCCTCCTGCTCCCGCATCTTCTCCTCCTGCCCATGCATCTTCTCTTCCTGCCTCCATATCTTCTCCTCCTGCTCCCATCTTCTCCTCCCTGCCTCCACAGCCTCCTTCTCCAACAGCTTCCCTCCTGCTCCGCAGCTTCCTCCTGCTCCCGCATCTCTCCTCCTGCCCCACAGCTTCTTCTCCTGCCTCCACATCTTCTCTCCTGCTCCCGCAGCTTCTCCTCCTGCTCCCAGATCTTCTTCCCGTCTCCATATCTCCTCCTCCTGCTCCTTCTTTCCCCCTGCTCCCGCATCATCTCCCTGTTCTCAGCCTCCTGCCTCCACATCTTCTCTTCCTGCCCCGCATCTTCCTCCTGCCCCGCATCTCTCCTCCTGCCTCCACATCTTCTCCTGCTCCCGTGATCTTCTACCTCCTGCCGATCTTCTCCTGCCTCCACAGCTTCTCCTCCTGCTCCCACAGCTTCTCCTCTGCTCCCCGCAGCCTCTGCTCTCGTGATCTTCCTCCTGACTCCACAGCTTCTTCTCCTGCCTCCACATCTTCTCCCTCTGCTCCCCGTGATCTTCTTCTACTCTTGCATCTTCTCTCCTCTGCTCTCGCATCTTCCCCCATCTGCTCCCGTGATCTTCTCCTCCTGCTCATGCATCTTCTCTTCCTGGCTCATATCTTCTCTCCTCCTTGCTCCCCGTGATTCTTCTCCCTCATTCCCGCAGCTTCTCCTACAGCTCCCGCATCTTCCCTCCTGCCCCGCAAGAGCTTCTCCTCCTGCCTCCACATCTTCTCCTCCTCCTGCTCCTGCATCTTCTCCTGCTCTCGCATCTTCTCCTCCTGCTCTACAGCTTCGAATACTCTCGCTCCAACAGCTTCCCCTCCCTGCTCCCAGCTCCTCCTCCTCCCGCATCGCCTCCTCCTGGGTCACAGCTTCTTCTCCTGCCTACATCTTCTCCTCTCCTGCTCCCGCATCTTCTCTGCTCTAGAATCTTTCTCCTGCTCTCGCATCTTCTCCTCCTGCTCCCGCATCTTCTCTACCTACTAATGCATCTTCTTCCTGCCTCCCCATATCTTCTCCTCCTGCTCCCACATCTTCCCTGCTCCCGCAGATCTTCTTCCTGCTCTCGTGATCTTCTCCCTTGCCTCCACAGCTTCTCCACCTGCTCCAACAGCTTCTCCTCCTGCTTCCGCAGCTTCTCCTCCTGCTCTCGCATCTTCTCCTCCTGCCTCCACAGCTTCTTCTCCTGCCTCCACATCTTCTCCTCCTGCTCCTTCTTCTCCTGCTCCCGAATCATCTCCTCCTGCTCCTACAGCTTCTCCTCCTGCCTCCACATCTTCTCCTCTGCTCCCGCATCTCTCCTCTGCTCCCGCATCTTCCCTCCTGCTCCCGCATCTTCCCTGCTCCCAGCCCTCCCACTGCCCCGATCTCTCCTCTTGCTCGCATCTCTCCTCCTGCTCATGCATCTTCTCCTCCTGCTCCCACATCTTCTCCCGCTGCTCCCGCATCTCTTCCTGCTCTCGGTGATCTTCCTCCTGCCTCCACAGCCCCTCCTACTCCAACAGCTTCTCCTCCTGCTCCCGCAGCTTCTCCTCCTGCTCTCGCATCTTCTCCTACTGCCTCCACAGCTTCTTCCCCTGCCTCCACATCTTCTCCTCCTGCTCCTTCTTCTCCTGCTCCTGCATCCCTCCTGCTCCCACAGCCTCCTGTCTCCACATCTTCTCTTCCTGCTCCCCGTGATCTTCTCCTCCCTGCTCCCGCATCTTCCTCCTGCTCACGCAGCTTCTCCTACCTCCACATCTTTTCTCCTCCTGCTCCCGCAGCTTCTCCTCCTGCTCTCGAAAGATCTCTCCTCCTGCTTCCACAGCTTCACCCTCCGCTCCCCGCAGATCTTCCTCTGCTCTCGCATCTTCCTCCTGCTTCTGATCTCCCATCTTCTCCTCCTAGTCCTGGGATTCTCTCCTCCTGCTCATACATCTTCTCTTCCTGCCTCCATATCTTCTCCTCCTGCTCTCGCATCTCTCCTCCTCGCCTCAACAGCTTCTCTCCTCTCCAACAGCTTCTCCTGCTCCCGCAGCCTCTCCTGCTCCTGTATTCTCTCCTCCTGCCTCCACAGCTTCTCCTGCCTCCACATCTTCCTCCCCTGCTCCCGCAGCTTCTCCTGCTCCCGCATCTTCTCCTCCTGCTCCCGTGATCTTCTCTTCCTGCCTCCATATCATCTCCTCCTGCTCCTTCTTCTCCTCCTTCCGCATCATCTCCTCCTGCTCCCTCATCTTCTCCTCCTGCCTCCACATCTTCTCCTCCTGCTCCCGTGATCTCCTCCCTGCTCCCGCAGCTTCTCCTCCTACCTCCACATCTTCTCTCCTCCTGCTCCCGTGATCTTCTCCCTCCTGCTCTCGGATCTCTCTCCTCCTGCCTCCACAGCCTCCTGCTCCAACAGCTTCTCCTCCTGCTCCTGCAGCTTCTCCTCCTGCTCTCGCATCTTCTCCTCCTGCCTCCACAGCTTCTTCTCCTGCCTCCACATCTTCGCCCTGCTCCCTTGCAAGATCTTCTCGCCTGCTCGCATCTTCCTCCTGCTCTCGCGTCTTCTCCTCCTGCTCCCGAGATCTTCTCCTCCTGCTCATGCATCTTCTCTTCCTGCCACCATATCTTCTCCTCCTACTCTCGCATCTTCTCCTCCTGCCTCCACAGCTTCCTCCTCCAACAGCTCCTCCCTGCTCCCGCAGCTTCTCCTCCTGCCTCTCGTATCTTCTCCTCCTGCTCCACAGCCTCTTCTGCCTCCACAGCTTCCTCCTGCCCCCGCAGCACTTCCTCCTGCTCCCCATCTTCCTCCTGCTCTGTGATCTCTCTTCCTGCCCACATTCTCCTCCTGCTCCTTCTTCTCCTGCCCGTGATCATCGCCTCCTGCCTCAGCCTGCCTCCACATCTTCTCCTCCTGCTCCCCAGATCTTCCTCTGCTCCCGCAGCCTCTGCCTCCACATCTTCTCCCTCTCAATGTATCTTCTCCTCTCCTGCTCGCATCTTTCTCCTCCTGCCTCCACAATCTCTCCTCCTGTCGCAATGAAGCCCTCCTCTGCTCCCGCAGCTTCTCCTCCTGCCTCCACAGTTTCTTTTCCTGCCTCCACATCTTTCTCGCCCCTGTTCTGTGATTCTTCTTGCTTTGCATCCTTTCTCCCTCCTGCTCTCGGGTATCTTCCCTGCCTAAGATCTTCTCCTCCTGCCTATGCATCTTCTCTTCCTGCCTCCATATCTTCTCCCTCTGCTCCTCGCGCAACTTCCTGCTCCCATCTCTCTTCCCTGCTCTCGATCTTCTCCTCCTGCCCCGCAGCCCTCCTGCCTCCACATCTTCCTGCCCCGCATCTTCCTCCTGCCTCGCATCTTCCTCCTGCTCAGCTTAGCCTCCTGTTCCAACAGCCACCTCCTGCTCCCAGCCCTCCTGCTCCGGTATCTTCTCCTCCTGCCTCCACAGCTTCTTCTCCTGCCTCCACATCTTCTCCTCCTGCTCCCACATCTTCTCCTCTCGCTCTCGCATCTTCTCCTCCTCCTGCTCTCGTATCTTCCTCCTCCTGCTCCGCAGATCTTCTCCTCCTGCTAATGCATCTCTCTTCCTGCCTCCATTTTCCCCTGCTCCCGCATCTTCTCCTCCTGCTCCCGCAACTTCTCCTCCTGCCTCAGATCTTCTCCTCTTACTCTCGCATCTCTCTCCTGCTCTGGCATCTTCTCTGCCCCATATCTTCTCTCTCCTGCTCTACATCTTCTCCTCTGCCCCAGATCTTCTCTCTTCCCCTGCTCTCGATCTCTCCTCCTCCTGCCTCCACAGCTTCTCCACCTGCTCCAACAGCTTCTCCTCCTGCTACCGCAGCTTCTCCCCCTGCTCTCGCATCTTCTCCTCCTGCCTCCACAGCTTCTTCTCCTGCCTCCATATCTTCTCCTCCTGCTCCTTCTTCTCCTACTCCCGCATCATCTCCTCCTGCTCCCACAGTTTCTCCTCCTGCCTCCACATCTTCTCATGCTCCCGTATCTTCTCCTCCTGCTCCCGCATCTTCTCCTCCTGCCTCCACATCTTCTCCTGCTCCCATATTTTCTCCTCCTGCTCACGCATGTTCTCCTGCTCCCACATCTTCTCCTCCTGCTCCCAAAGCTTCTCCTCCTGCCTCCACCTCTTCTCCTCCTCCTCCCGCATCTTCTCCTCCTGCTCCCGCAACTTCTCCTGCTCATGCATCTTCTCTTCCTGCCTCCATATCTTCTCCTCCTGCTCCCGCATCTTCTCCTCCTGCTCCCACAGCTTCTCCTCCTGCCTCCACAACTTCTCCTCCTGTTGCTGGTTCATGTGGTTCCAGAACTCGTTCTCTTCCACCTGGGCTTGCAGCTCTGCTGCCACACTCTCCAGCTCCTTACACAGGTGGTCAGCATCCGCCTGTAGCTGCTGCTTGAACAGTGAAAATGTTGGTTTGAACCTCAGAAGGAAAAAGACTCATGAGCTAGCGATATAAATGTAATCTATAAAATAATGGTTTTCATCCATAATCCTTTAAAAAAAATTTTTTAAGCCCTAACTCTGAGATTCTGATATCCCAGGCAGGGCCCCAATTTGTATATTTTTAGCACACTCTAGAGGATTCTATGCAGGAGAAGAACAAGGACCCAAATTTTTGAGCTCCTGGCTGGACCTCCCCATAACCTGCATGATCCCTAGACCAAGGTCCCAGCCGGATGGGGCGCCCACAACCCCCGGGGCTGCAGCCACTCGCCTGTGGCAGTAGGAGCTTGGCCCTCTCCAGCTTTCTTTTTAGCTCCTTTACGTTGAGCTGGATCTCAGACTTTTCAGATTCTACAAGTCGAAGTTTTTCTAGCAGTTCGGCATTTTTCTCCTTCAGCTCCTCATTGGTTATGCTATGGCCAGAGGCAGTAGAGAAAGGAATGAATGAAGAACAGAAAGGACCACTTTGGTGATGAACCCTCTACTTTTGCCCCACAACCATAGAACCGTGGCATTGGAAGGGACCCCAGGAATTAAAAGTCCCGGGTGGCAGGCCAGAGAGAAGACATGAGTTGCCTGAGGCTACCCATGAGTCAGTGGCACAGCTGGCACTAGAGCTTCCCTGCACACACATGAAAACCTGTGTGAGCCTCTCACCATGCTCACCTGTACCCCCCACCTCCCAGCACACCACCCATGCTAAGGGCCTCCAGACCTCCCATCCCACCTTCCCCCATCCTACATGTTTCTGTACAGCTCCAAACTCAGGGCGTCCCTCTCCTTTGTTAACTCCTTGATGTACTGCAAATAGAGACAGGTGAAGTCAGGACACAGCAGGCAGAGGAGCAGCTGGCCAACCGGGAACAACAGCTCTCGTGACTACTCCACAGTAACACTTCCTCACTCCCAACCACACCTCACATGTTCTCAAGGCATTTCCAAGCCCATGGTCTCATTTGCTTTTCTTTCTTTGTTTTGTTTCTGTCTTTTCTTTTTGTTTTTTTTTTTTGTTTGTTTGTTTTGTTTTGTTTTTTGAGGCAGAGTTTCGCTCTTGTTGCCCTGGCTGGAGTGCAATGGCGCAATCTCGGCTTACCACACCCTCTGCCTCCCAGGTTCAAGCGATTCTCCTGCCTCAGCCTCCCAAGTAGCTGGGATTACAGTCATGTGCCACCACACCCAGCTAATTCTGTATTTTTAGTAGAGATGGGGTTTCTCCATATTGGTCAGTCTAGTCTTGAACTCCTGACCTCAGGTGATACGCACGCCTCGGCCTCCCAAAGTGCTAGGATTACAGGCGTGAGTCAGAGCACCGGCCCTCATTTGTTTTTCAAAGAACTCAGTAAAGGTGGAAGAGACAGGGAAAGAGATTGAATTTATAGCTGGCTAACAGGGGCCCAGAGAGATCAGATAATATTGCTATTGTTATTACTGTTATTGCTACCACTGTTGGAACCTTTACTGAGTGCTTCACCAGGCACTGCGCTAACAGTCCCATTTAATCCTCACAACCTCCATAGGTGATGGTTACCATTATTACCTCTATTGTGTAGATGAAAAACGTGGGGTATTAAAGGTTAAGTGCTTGCCTAAGATCACTTAGAGCTGGGATTTCAACACCCAGGTATATCTGATTCTCTAAGCCCATTCTTTCACCAAGGGTAGGGGCACAGACAAGGAGGAGGAAATTAATCTTTTATTGACTTTTTAAAAGGATGATACATTCCCATAGTGCAAAACTCAGAAAGTACAGAAGGGAAATATCTCCCCCACAACACTGTTCCTCTCTCCTGAGTTTTTTATGAATCCTTACAAACATGTTTTATGTATATTACCATAATACATACACACACACATGCGTGCTCCCTCTCTCAACACAGATAATAACATACTCAAGATACTCTTCCGTACCTTTATGGTACAAGTACCCTAACCACCACTTAGGCCACCACTTGTGGCCAAGGCCACAGCCAAGTATGGGCAGGGCAGGCACTTGGCCTCCGAGCTCTCTATCCAGTGCTCGCTCCCCACAGTACCCCCCAACTCACCCACAGCAGCCGACTCAGCCCCCGTCTGCCTCTAACCACCACACACAAAAAGCAGCAAGAAATGGCCATGCTACCTTCTGGGCAGGACACTCCATCCTACAGAAGGGACCTTTAGGCTCACTCCTCCATCTGCGAAGCCAGGGTCCCAGGGGACGGGGCAGGTGGTTGGACTCACCCTGTCCGCCTTCTTCTTCTGGGTAATGACAGCAAAGAGAGACCGCTCTAACTCTCCTGCAAACTTCCATGAATCATGCAGGCAGCTGACCAGATCCCTGGACTCTCCTGGAATGGGAGACATTCAGATGCGGCCCAAAGGACTCCCCCTAAAGGCCTGTCAAATGCCAGGTTGAAGGATGACAGGGTGCCAGATTCCCACCTTCCAACTGCTGGGCAGCATGCTGGCTGTAATAGAGTGCCGTCCGAAGCTCACTTTTCTGATATGTAAGGATTCGTATGGTATGAACCTGGGCCTTTGGGAGAAAAGACAAGCAAGTGCTGAAAGAGAAGTGAAGAAACATTCTCCAGAGGACAGGAGGGAACTTCACACCCTCCACTCACCTCTAGCTCCCTCCTTAGGGCTTCCTGATATTGCAGGCTTGCCTTCTTTTTCTATAGAAAGAGGAAGACAGAGCTCTTCCTAGGGGGAGGCAGAGATGGCACAGCAAGAGACATGCCCCCAGAATGGCACCACTGCCCCAGGACAGGCCCACCCATGGGACCAGGTTATCAGGGATCTTGTGGGGATGGGGTGGAATCTGGGGGGTGAGCCTTCTTCCTCAGGCTGGGAGTGGGCGGGATGAGACTGGGGCCTCTACATCTGAGTGTCCCCCCAAACCCAGCAGTCATGTCATGAGCAAACAAATCACGTTACTTCTTCCAGCTGAGCTCGGTTCTGTTGTTTCTGTGGGGAGAGTCAAAGGAAGGTGACTGAGGGTGGCCCCCTTGACTCTATTCCCCAGGCCAGGAAGCGATAGGCAGGGGCCAGGAATGGATTTTAAAGGTGAAGTTCTCAGACCCAATGGGAACACGAACTGGTAAACTCTCCTCAACTCCCAAAGAAAAAGGATTTGGGTCTTTGTTGGTTTTTGCCCATAGCCACAGAACTGAAAGTGTGAAACCAGATTCTCTCAAAAAGACAGTAACATAAACCTTCAGAGATGGAGTGTGAGAAAAGCCCACCCTTCTGCCAGCTTGTGATTTAGAAAGGTGCAATCATTCAACAAACACTGACTGAGCACATACCGACCAGGGATGGTTCTTCACAGCAAGGATATAGGACGGAAAAGGCAGACAGGAGCCCTTGGCCCCGAGGTTTCCATTCTAGTGGGCCTTCAACTCTCAGACTCTCAGAGCTAACAGAAACCTCTGATACTCTCTAACTACTTCAGGAAATGCAAGCCCAAGAAGGAGAGTTTACAGCAGGCCCTGGACTGGGGATTAACATAAAAACAACAATGACAAATCTCATTTAAACTTCACAAATGTAAGTAAAACAATACTACTCCTATTTTACAGAAGTGAAAAGACAGGCCCAAAGGGCTCAAGCAATTTGCCCTAAATCATATCCCTAGCAGATGGAGAGGTAAGATTCGAACCCAGAATTCTTAAGCAGTACCTGGCAGTTCTTTCAGAATCTTAACAATTACCCTCCACCACCCGTTGGGCCCTCTGTCCCTAGGAGCCTGGCCAGCCAAGACCCACATCCTCAGGTGAGTGGCAACCACCAGAAGTGGTTGTCCCAGGGTTAGTGCCATTATTTGTTTTCTTCTTTTTGGTGTCGGTTGCTCCTTTACCAACACTAGGGTTGGTCTGGGGATGATAGTCTCTCAACTGTGTAAAGGAAGAGCAGTGATACTCATGAGCACTACAAGCTCCTACAGTCACATCCGGCTTTACGGTTTATACAAAATACTATTACAGAGCATCCGATTTAATGCCACCAACAACTGTAGAAAGTGTTGTCACAATCACTTAGTGACAGAGGGATTGATACCACGGCTGAAGAAAAGGCAATGATGGAACTTAAACACAGTCTTCTGACTCTGAGTTCCAGGATTTTGCCACAAATCAGCAACTGCCAGGGACCAAAACCAGAGGCAGAGGTAGAAAAGCAAATATTAAACAGGCAGGAACTGTACATTGTGTGGTTTACAGTCAAATATCCTCACACGTCTGTTAGTGTGAAGAAGTGCACTAAAACCTCTCAAGCTTTTACATCAATGTATCCTCATGGCAGAAGACAGCCTTTCTGTTAAATCTGAGAATTTAACAGAAAGAGGACAACCCAACCCTCATTTCAGGGACAAGTCTTGTATACTCATAGATCTCTGTGACTGTCATCCCTAAGTACATTAATGTTTTCTCTCTCAATAGAATCAAGGGAAACTGATGCTTCAGAAAGATGCCCCATATTTATCCTGTGACACTCAAAGCGCCCCAGGTTGAGATGAGATGAGGAAGATTCAAGCTGTCAAGTTCAGTTTCCCAAGATCTGTTCCACAGAAGATAAGCAGATCTCACTCTAGAAACTACTGACTGAGGGGCCCTCTGGTCCCAGAACAATGGAGAATTCAAATCTGAGGTGGAGAACTCAGAAACAATGTTAAAGTTCCTCCAGAGAGTAGAGCCTGGGAGAAAACCAAACCAAACCCAGTCTCCCATTGCCACCCAGAGACACTGTCAACGTGTTGAGCTCATAGGGGAGGTGTAGGCTTTTCACACTGTCAATGTGTGTGTTAAGGAAGTAAGGCAGCTTGAAACCTCTCTCTCCTAGGTCCCACAGTCCCCATTCCCCTTCCAGCTGGAAATCTGTGCTGCAACCAGAGGAACTAGAAATGACAAGAACACTTAGGGTACTGGGTCCTAAGACCAACGGCCAGTCTGGTGGCAGTAATGACAGTTTCTAGAGGGACTGTGACATCACTACATTCCACTCCTTGGTGGAGTGGCCGGGGGGACACAAGAGTGCAATGCCCAAGTTGTCACTTTGAGATTGGGGAGGGGGTCACAGGATTGGGACCCAGGTCCTTGGACGCGCGAGCCCATAGAGCCCACGGAGGTCAGGCTTGGGGCGGTGGGAGGTGAGGGCCAAGTATGGAGCAGGGAGCCTCAGGAGTCACCTGCCCGAAGTCACCCTGGGGCAACTGGTGAGGGCAGGTTCTGGGGCACCCAGGTCCTTGGAGACGTGAGCCCAAAAAGCCCAGGGTGCTCGGGTTTGGGGTAGCAGGAGATAAGGGTGGAGTACGGAGTGGGAAGCTCCAGGAGTCACCAGCTCAAAGTCGCCCTGGGGTGACTGGCGAGGGCAGGGGCAGGACTCACGAGGGGGGTGGGCTGGCTGATAAGATTTTGGTTTGGTGAGTCCAGAGGCACTGGGGGGCCCAGCCCAGTGTGCTTCAGGAGTGGCACGGACTCTGGCAGCAGTTTGGCTGTCAGAGGGGGCCTGGGGCTGGGTTGGGGTGCTGCAACCTGGTGCATTTTACCTTTTCCTTGGCCTCAGCCAATTTGCCCTTTCGGGTTTCTTTGGACATCACCGGACGCGTAGGAAGGTAGGGTTGGGGCCACATCAGCACAATCCAGGCGAGGACAACTATACACCTCCAGTCACCTACACGTAGCTGTGTGACTGAGCCAGAGGCCGCGTAACCAGGGCTGCACTAGAATGCAGAATAGGGGTGTGGCCTTAATGCTTCAAGCCCATTGGTCGATGAGAAAGATGAAAGGGAAAGGAGGCGTGGCCAGACAGCAGCACGTCATGAAGGACCTGTGATGTCACAGGGAAAGCCACTCCATGCAACTGCTGTCCCCGCCCACTCCCAGAGAGGGGCGGGGCTGGCTTTCACTTTAAAAACTTTAAAACTTTATTACCTCAATTGAGGTACGAATCCTATTAAAATGGAAATTTTATAGTGTGCTTGATGATTGTTAAAGCAGACTATATTATCCAACATTCCAATAAGATAAAATAATCACAATGATTTCTCTTTTTTGGAAAAACTTTCTCTGATTCTTCTACATTATTGTTAAGTTAAAAAATAAAAAAAAAAAAAAAACATGTCTAATATCTTTAAAAACACAAAGCTTTTGAGCCAGGCATGGTGGCTCATGCCTGTAATCCCAGCACTTTGGGAGGCTGGGATGGTCTCACCAGAGTTCAGGAGTTCAAGACCAGCCTGGCCAACATGATGAAACCCTGTCTCTACTAAAAATACAAAACTAGCTGGGCATGGTGGCAGGTGCCCGTTATCCCAGCTACTTGGGAAGCTGAGGCAGGAGAATCCCTTGAACTTGGGAGAAGGAGGTTGCAGTGTGCCAAAATCATGCCACTGCACTTCAACCTGGGCTACAGAAGGAGACTCTGTCTCTAAGTACATACATACATACATACATATATACATACACACACACACACACACACACACAGAGCTTTCCATTTAATAAGCACTCAAAGTTCTTTGTAAGTTTAAAACAAATACAGGACCCTTCTAAAGTAAGGCTAAATGCTAAGTGATGGGGGAGAGAAAAAGGACATAAATAACTCCTACTCTCATGAGGTTAATCACTAAATCCTATTTTTCTAGAATCACCCGGCCTCTCTAAGCCCTGCAAATGAAACTGAATTTCTCACTCAACACTTGGCTATGACTTGCAATGATGAAAACCAAGAATTGTGTTATGTCACTGTGTATTGCTTGTTACCTGAGATCAAGGGTTGACTTTTTCATGATTTGCTCCATTACCTGTGTGCTTCTTATCCCAGACCAAACTAAGCTTTTTCTATAGTTCTACAATTTCCAGTTAGTATATAAGAGTGGTTCTCAAAAATATAGTCTCTGGACCAGGAGCACCTGGGAACTTCTTATAAATGTAAATTATCAGGCCCAACCCTAGACCTGGTGAATCAGAAACTCTGGAGTAGGGCCCAGCAATCCGTGTTGCAATAAGCCCTCCAGGTGTTCAGGAACCTCTGGCATGCAGCAGGTAGAAAAATGTGTTTCCTTCTGTAGGTCCAAAGCCAAGAATACAATATGTTCTGTCTCGATATGAAACAATGGCATGCAATTAAAAGACATAAATCTCCTTCCTACTTCCACCCTCCAGCCAGTGTGTTTTATTTTTATGAGTTCAACAAGAAAACGAGTAGCAATCAGAGATTTCATCTAAAAAGTATATTTACAGGCATCAGTTCTCATTCATCCTGATCTCATCCAGTATCATTTATGTCCTCTTACATCTAAAGTTTTAGAAAAGGATCTTCACAATGTAAGACTCAGGCACACACTTCTATGATAAAAGACCAAGTAGATCTGAATGTCCAAACTTACTAGAGAAGAAAAGTGGAATCACTGGCTATATTTTCAAATTGCATTCAATAGGAAATTAAAGTTTTGAATTTTTTTCACCTTCATCCTTCCAAGTTAATAGAATTAAACCAGAATACTCCATTCTTCCAAAGCCTCTAGCAAGGCAAAGTTTTACTGTATTACTTCTTGCTTTTCAATGGATATAAAGCAGAGTCCTGGTAGGCACATTTTGTATACCTGCGAAGATGCAAAACTAAACAGTTCCCTCTGTTCGATATTGAAACAAAAGTCCTGTAAACCTCAGATGGTGAGTGTAACACTTCAGCACTAGCACAAAAGCCTCAAATATAAAAAGATACCAAGAACACCACTAGCAAACAAAAGTAAGCTCTTGGCCGGGAGCAATAGTTCACGCCTGTACTCCCAGAATATTGGCAAGCCAAGGTGGGGTAAGTCAGGAGTTCAAGATCAGCCCGGGCAGCATAGCAAATTCACATCTCTACAAAAAAATGTAAAAATTAGCTGGGCATGGCGGCACACACCTGCAGTCCTAGAGCTACCCGGGAGGCTGAGGTGGGAAAATCGCTTGAGCCCAGGAGTTTGAGGCTGCAGTAGCTAAGATCATGCCACTGCACTCCAGTTGGGGTGACAGAGTGAGATCTAGATACTACATTCTGTCCTGCTCCTGTTTCAACTAAAACCACTAAGTTAAAATGTTTTCATTCAGCAGGATAAAAATTAAGTGAAATATGACTTTGGTGCTTTGCTAGCAAAAAGTAAATAAAGTGAAATGACAAATTACTTATTGGGAGAAAGTATTTGTAACCTCAATGACAGATAAAAGGTTTATATCTTTAGCCTATAAAGAAATCTTTAAAATTACTCAGAAAAAAAAAATGAATGATTTCCAGCAGAAAATGAGCAATGGAGAAACCAGCACTTCCCACAAGAATAAAAATGGTCCATGAGCATATGAAAAAGATTCAAAAGCACTAGAAATCAAAGAAATGTAATGAAAACAATGAGATTTTCTGCTGAAAGACCAGCAAAGATGACAAATGGAAGGGGAACCTGGAGCTCTGTCCCTGTTGATGGGAGCATAAACTCAACCAATTCTCCTACAGGATCATTTGAACATTTCTTTTAAAAATCCTAAAACTGTTTTATATTATTTTCCTCTAGAAATTCTACTTCTACGAATTCAGTAAAAAATCCTTACTCGAGTCCATTAAAATATATAAAGAAAGAAATTCACCTCTGGGGTGGCAATAATTTACTTAACATGCATCCAGCTGTTAAAAATGATGATGCCAGGATGTATTTCTGCCATAGAAGCATGCTTAAAATATAGTAAGTGACAAAAGACCATATATTATGATTTTACTTTTTAAAATGTTTATATGCATAAAAAGTATAAAAAGCAACAAACCAGAATGTTTTGAGTGGCAAAATTAAAGATTTTTCTTTATATTTTGTCATCCAAATTGTTACAAAAAGAATGTGATTTCCTTTGTAATCAGGGAGAAGTGTTATTTTCATTTATTTATATTTACATTTCTTTTCTTTTTCTCTTTTTTCTCCTGTATGTATCCCATGTAGGCTAGAGAGCTGAAATCCCTGCCCCTTGAGGGAAATCAGCCCATTTTCAGGACGTGCAGTACACAAAGCTGCCACATCTTCCCTTTATTTTTTTAGTTTTATTGATTGATTGATTGATTGATTTTGAGATGGAGTCTCACCCTGCTGCCCAGGCTGGAGTACAGTAGCACATCTCAGCTCACTGCAACCTCCATCTCCCAAGTTCAAGCGGTTCCCCTGCCTCAGCCTCCCGAGTAGCTGGGACTACAGGCATGCACCACCATGCTCAGCCAATTTTTGTATTTTTAGTAGAGAGGGAATTTCACCATCTTGGACAGACTGGTCTCAAACTCCTGACCTCAAGTGATCCATCTGCCTTGGCCTCCCAAAGTGCTGGGATTACAGGCATAAGTCACTGTGCCTGGCCTGTCATATTATTTCTAAAAATTTCAGTGACATTTCAATTAAGTTAAATTTAATTCTTACTGACCTGATCCCTTATCCTCTGTTTAATGATAGCTTCCAGTTGAAAGGTGTTTCCTCTGTAATCACAGGCACTAAAGGAGATGCAACATGTATTCATTAGGTAGATATCCACCAAACCACTGATTCTCGCATTGTCGTCCTTAGACACTCAGCATCGGCAACATGGGGGAACTTGTTAGACATGCAAATTCCTGGGCCAGCCCCACACCTCCTGAATCAGAAAGTGGGGAAGAGGGACAGCTATCTGTGCTTTAATAAGCCTTGAGATGCTCCCTGAAGTTTGAAAACTACAGAACTAGAATATATATGGTAGTAAGTGCTCATACTCTACCCAAGATACCTAGGGACCCTTCCCCTCTTTTCCATTCTCTTTTCCATTGAAATAAAATGAGAGCTCATTTTGACTTAATGGGTATAAGAAAGAAGGCAATGAGATGACCAGGGTTTCAAGTTAAGAGTTCAAAATTTAATCAGTGGACAGTGACAGGATGCAAGCCTTCTAAACAGATTACTGCAAGAAAGCTGATCATAATCTATACATTAGGTTGCAATGAGCTGAGATCGTGCAACTGTACTCCAGCCCGCACAACAGAGCGAGACTCTGTCTCAGAAAAAAAAAAAAAAAAAATTAGGGATACTAAAATGAAAACATTAGTGTTTGGAGAGAAAACCAAATGGATAAAGTGAATTGATATTAGAAAAATAAGAGAATTCTGTAAGGTAGCTGAAAAAGCTGGCATTTTATTCACTGAAGTCATAATTGTTGTCTTTTAGAAGTTAGAGATAATAAAAATTTGAGTTTAGAGTAGTGTGTGAGTTCCACAATCATGTCAAGCATATTAAAAATTCCTTAAATTCCTTTTTTTTTTTTTTCAGAGTCTTGTTCTGTCACCCAGGCTGGAGTGCGGTGGCGTGATCTCGGCTCACTGCAAGCTCTGCCTCCGGGGTTCACGCCATTCTCCTGCCTCAGCCTCCCAAGTAGCTAGACTGCAGGCGCCCGCTGCCATGCCCCACTAATTTTTTGTATTTTTTAGTAGAGACGGGGTTTCCCCGTGTTAGCCAGAATGGTCTTGATCTCCTGACCTTGTGATCCGCCCACCTCCGCCTCCCAAAATGCTGGGATTACAGGTATGAGCCACCGCACCTGGTGTAAAATGTCCTTAAATTCCTAATTACTTTTTCCTGTCTTTTTTCAAAACAGGATTTAACTTCATCAGAATTTTTCTTTACATTTAAAACACCTGCATCTTCAGTTGTGTCATGATATGGCAAAGTAAAGGTCACTCTCTTCAAGCTTTATTTACATTGTTTACTGTCTTCCCTTTCTTCCAGGTCATCATCTTCATTCCTACACTACCAAAACTCTGATAAAAAGGAAGAAGCTGTTTTCCATTAGAAAAACAAAGGAAGCATATTTTCCCTTAATAAAGTTCTTTTATATGCCTAATGCAACCAAATACTCAGCACTTCCAAAATCATTCAGTTATTGAAGAAGAGAAGGTATCGTTTAAGTGAAATACTACATAAGAAACAGAACAAAAAGCGTCTAATATATAGAAAATAAATTATTCATCAATCTATAACACAAACCTCCTAGCTCACAAAAATAACGGGATTTTTGGGGCACAAAACCAAATCAAAGTTCCTGGTAAGAAAGGTTTGATTGTTACTGCCAGTAATATTTTTCTTCATTAAGTGATCTTTAATGTCCCTTTAAATCCAGTGACTTTCCTCTGGCTATCTTGAGAATATCTGATAGGAGAGTATCTAACTTCTTAAACGTATCTGAAAACCACAAGTACAAACACATGATTGGGCAATTCTAGCTCACAATGTAAAGGATGGTTCAAAATACTCACATTTCAGAAATGCTTAGTTCTTCTGCTGCTTCTTCAGCAATTTCATCATCTTGTTTGAACCCAGCTCATCATCATGATCACTTGCTGTGTCTTCATCACTTTCAACTGGATCAAAAAAATCTTTGTACCTCACATTTCTGGAACTTTCATCTGACTAAAATAAAAAGATTTTTAAAACTATTAATTAGGAATAGAAAAATACATCATTAACACATGCATATATATTTGTATGTATACTGTATGTCTGCATTACTTTCTAACTTAATAACACTACAAGTCAAAAACAGTTACTAGGTGAAATTGGCAACTAAAAACACTACCATAAAACTATTATAAGAACAACTGTAACATAAACTGAATGGAAGTACAGATTCATGTATAACCGATTGAGTATAATATTTCTTAGCTCTAAATCTTCTAAATACATATCTCCTAGAAAAACAGAACAAAAGCTAATTTGAAGAGGAAAGTGCTCTCTCCTCTCTCAAAACTTTACCTTAAGTATTTTTACTTCCAAACAGTCCCCCTTCATCTTCACCAGAATCAATATCTTCAAAAAAAAAAAATCAGTATCTTCCACCTCATCATCATTATCATCTTTTCGTTCCTCTTCTTTTTCTGTTTTCTAAATAGGCCTCCATTTCAGAGAGTTGGGAGAATTTCTCGTCTACTGTGGACTTTTCTCTTGGTTTTCCAAGTCCTTTGTTTTGCACCTTGCTCTGCTGTTCCAATCTGTTGATATCAAAGTCAAGGTCAGAATCCACATCACTGAAAGCTGGGCTTTTCCTCAGTTCAAATTTGTTGAGTTTTTAGCTTTCTTACCCACCTCAGGATTGTAACCACCCATATCTGACACTTCCTCTTTCTCCTCTAAATCTTCTAGGTCCTCCTGGCCACCAGCCTCTGTCTCTGAACCAGCCTCTTCATGCTTCTGTTCTTCACTCTCTGGGAGAAGACTGATATCTTCATCTGCGTTTCACTAACTGCATTTTGGAAGTGTTGTAAAATTGGTTCATTTCGCATTTCCAGTTGTTGTAAAGTCTGCTCATCATCAAAACTTTCTATCACAAGTTTTTATAAAGGGCTTCCACGGATCCCACTATTCTCTAATTAATTTTATTAAAGTCATAAAGTACTTTTGTTAAAGAAGTGAACTTTGATGCCAGTCCATCTTGAATCCTATTGGGAGGAATTAAATGAGATTTAGAATGATAGGTAATAATTTCACAGCCCTCTTAATTAAAAGAAAAATAAAAACTCCAACTCTTCTGTAAAATCAAATTTGAATGAAGTGTAAGTATAGATGCTGGCCCCAACAACATATAAGCTGATGAGCCACAATGATATATAAAACCTGTCAACCAAGGATTTGTGAATCAGCTGTATAGATTTTAGGCAGGAAAAGCATTATAAATCGACTTACTTGGAGATATATAGTGAATTAGCCTTAAATTATCAACTCTGCCACATTATACATCACTCCATTCATTCATTCATTCCCTTATTTCTTCAGTGATCAACATTTGCTTTGGCTACAGTGGTCAAGGAAAACCTCTCTTAGATGTGACATCTCAGATGAAACCTACAGATAAGGATAGTCTCATACAGATTGGGTAACATGTATTCCAGGCAGAAGAAATAGCAAGAACAAATTCTCTAAGATGCAATTGAGTTTGGTAAGCCAAAGGAATAAAAAAATGAGCATGGCTAGAGTGTGATGGAGGCAGAAGGCGAAGCTGGAGAGACTGAAGGGAGCCAAATTCTGCAGGGCTCAAGGGAAAGAGTTTGCCATTTTAAGTGTAATAAGAAAACATGAGAAGATTTTAAGCAGAAGGACGAAATGATGATTTACACGAAGGAAGAAGAAAGGGAGGAAGGAGGAGGAGGAAAGTAGAGTGATTAGAAGGTTGATGCAGCATCCCAGGCAAAGGATGATGGTGATTTAAGCTGGAGTTAGAGCAGTGAATATGCTGAGTACAGTTTAGAGGTAGAACTGACAGGATTGCTAAGGAATTAGATACAGAATAAGAGAAAAATGAAGACATCAAAATAGCAGCCTAGTTTTATGTGTGAGCAACTGGAAAGACAGAACTGCCATTTACTGCGATAGGCAAGGCTTGAGTGGTGGAGCATGGGGAAAGGACTTCAGGGGATGGCAGAGTACAGGTGGGTAGAAACAACATTCTACTCTATTTTGGACACAGTGAATTTGCGATGTTGAAGGTACCAAAATTTAAGAAATTGTTAAAAGCCTTACAGTGCGGATATCCCAGTTGTGTGCTACTGAATTCCAACTAAGCTCAGTCTGTAGTTGCTGTGAGCCAGGGACTCAAAGGAGAGGTTGGAGTTAAATGAGTCATAATTTTACAGATCATATTTGAAGTTCTTCAACAAAGTACGCATAAAACGCTTGTGCACGGAACAGACATGAAAGTTCTAATTCTCAAGAAGCTTAGTTGGGGTGGACAAACAAGTGACAAATATGTACTTTCAATAAAGTATGACAGTAAACACTGAGTGCCTTAGGAGCACATAGGCGGAAGGAGAAACCAACACAGTTCGTGGGGCGGGGGGGGCAGTAATAAGCCTCAAGGGGAGCTTCTAGGCGTTAATAACTGAGGTTAGGTTCATTTCAATAACATTCAACTGAGAGAGCCATACTGTAAAAATTTTGAACCGTTTTGAAAATTTTGATAGCCTAGGAAAGTATAAACTCTGAAATGTGGGGAAAAGTGGTTTACATTTCCCCTTACCTTCCCTCAGCTCCACAATTTGCCAGGAGTCTGCAACTCGCGTCCACGTGCGACCCCAGTCCCACCCGAGCTCGGGATCTGCGCACTTACGTGAGGATGCACTGGTGCCAGCCGGTGGCTTTGCCGACCTCTGTGAGACACCGCTCCAGGGTCTGTCAGCGCCAGGCCCGCGGGGCCATGGCTGTCTGCTACTCTGGACACAAGCTGCAAACAAGACGAGAGAGCCGCTAGGAAACGCACAGCAAGGATGCGCCTAGCACAACTTGGAGCTCAGAGTGGAAAGTTCAGGGCTCGCAGGTTCCGGACTCACCCCCAGCGGGAGCCAATGGCAGCGCAAGCGCTTTCGCGTGTGCAGGGGGGCGGGAAACAAAAATTGCCACTGGTCAACTTAAGCGCCTTTGAACTGTCCCCAAACTTCGTTTTGTACTTTTCAGGGGCCCACAAGGGATGGCGCCTCTTGGCTCTAATTTCTGCTTTAGGTATAGTGGGTGTGTTATATGCAGTAGGAAATCAGCGGCCTTCGCCACGCCCCCTGCCGGGTGGGGGTCTCCCCGCCCCGCCCCGCCCCGCCCCGCCCCGCCCTCCAGGGCGCAATTAGCTGGGTCAGCCGCTACTGGGGTCGCAGTGGAGATGGCGGGCGTGCTGGAGGCTGCGGCCGCCGACGTCTCTAGGTGAATACCGGGCGCCAGTGAAGGTCGCTGTGGGTCGGGCATGTGGGAACGGAGGCCAGGGGGAGAAGGAGGCCTCAAGGTGGTCAAAGCACCTTGATGATGCATTCTGTCCCCCGGGGCGCGTTCCACGGCTGCTGCCGGCACCTAGGCAGAGGGTACCTTCCAGAAACACCTCAGCTTAGCTCGGGGATGGCCTCGTGCGTGAGTCCCATTGCCACTTGGGAGCTGTGCGCCCTGGGCGCTGCACCTTCTAGTATGTGGGCCGGAGAGGCAGGGGATCTTGCCCAGCGGGTCCGGCAGGGCAGGGACGGAAGTAAATGGAAGCCGGGAGGTAAGTGTTATTTTACCGGGCACCCATAAAGAGGCTGGGGAGAAACCAGAAAGGAGAGCAAGTCTTGTTAAAGAAAAAAAAATTCAGCTGAACTGCAAGCATGACCAGCATTCTGTTGGGAACACTCAAAGAAAGGTCAGTGTTGTGAGGAATACAGAAGGAGTTACTTTTCCACGTGCCCTAGTAAGTTTATCATCGCGTGCATAAATGGAAAGATAAAGCATGTGGTTTTAGAAACTTACTTGATTTCTCTCTTCCTTCATTTTTTTAATTGTCTAGATAAAATAAGTTATGACAGAAACTAGAGTTTTCTGAGTCTCACTTTCTTTTCATCCTTTTTTTCCTCTTTCTCCTTTTATGAGAGGCAAGTGTTTCCCTTAATCTGAGATTACGCGCCAAGTGGTAAAGGCCCAGAGTTACTCCGGGACATTCGTGATAAATCCTTCTAGCACCAGAGCCCACATTCTTAACCATGAGGCATACTCACTCACTTCTTAGGTGATACACGAAATCGAAAGGTGAAAATATAAATAAAAAAATGAATATTCGGGAAAAGGTATTTTTATATCTGTATTTTTAGAACTGTACACTTTAATGATTGACGGTTTGGGAAGAGTATGACTTCCAACAGGCCATATACTTAGTGCAAGAACTGAATGCAGATAAAGATGCATTTTTGTTTTGTAACTTACACTTCTTGGCATAAAGTAAAGGAAAAATGAAAATAGTGTATTCCGAAAACTGATTTTGATTTGTCCTGTTAAGATACGTGAAACTTCATGGCTCCATTTGTGTGTGTGTGGTCGAATATATGTAAAGTAAAATTTTTAACATTTTTGAGTGTATAATTCAGTGGCTTTAACTACACTCACTTTGTTGTGCAACAGTCACCACCACCCTTCTCCTGAGCTTTTTCATCTCACCAGAACTGAAACTCTGTTCCCATTACACAACAGCTGCCCATTCTCCTCTGACCCAGCTCTTGGCAACCACTGTTCTACCTTCCCTGTGAATCTGACTACTCTAGGTGCCTCATATAATGTGGAATCACATACTGTTTTTCTTTTCTGTGTTTGGCTTGTTTCACTTGGCATCATGCCCTCAAGTTTCATCCATATTGTAGCATGTGTCAGAATTTACTCTTTTTTTTCTTTTTTTGAGAATGAGTTTCACTTTTGTTGCCCAGGGTGGAGTGCACGATCCCAGCTCATCGCAAACTCTGCCTCCCCGGTTCAAGCAATTCTCCTGCCTCAGCCTCCCAAATAGCTGGGATTACAGGCATGCACCAGCACACCTGGCTAATTTTGTATTTTTTGTGGAGACCGGGTTTCTCCATGTTGGTCAGGCTGGTCTTAAACTCCCGACCTCAGGTGATCCGCCTGCCTCAGCCTCCCAAGTTGCTGGGATTAGCAACCACGCCTTTTTTATTAACACTTCTGTTCTTAAGTATCTTATGCATTTATCCACACATGGTTGTACACTGTATTTTATTCATGCAAAGCAACCTTTATTGGAATAATTGGAATAATCACAAATTATATAATATGGTATTCAAAATAATGCAATTCTGCTGCACCATTCTGAAATGGGAGGCAGAGAGACCTAAAACTGAAGAGTTGTGAATTTCTACCAATTGAGGGCCAACCTGAAATAAAAATATCTTTAAAAAGTTAGCCTGATTGTCAGTAATCATTTCATAATTTATACATATATTAAAGCATACATTGCATACATTGTATTCATTGAAGATACATAATTTCTATGAGTCCTCATACCTCAAGCTGGAAAAATGTTACTACAAGTCAAAGGAGAAAATATAATAATTAAAAGTTCAATTCACAACAAACTTTTCAGAACACATTTTTATCAGATATAAAGCTCTGTTTCATTTTAACTCCTTTATTCAGGGTTCTCCATCCAGTTTGCTTGGTCTACACAGTTTCACCTTTGGATTTTTATTGTTGGATCATCTCTTCTTTTTTTCTTTCTTTTTTTTTTTTTTTGAGGTAAAATTTACATGACAAAATTAATCCTTTAAAAATGTACAATTTAACCGCAATGATCACATTCACTGGGTTTATGTGACCATCACCTTTGTCTATTTCAAAACATTTTCACTGGCCGAGTGCAGTGGCTCACGCCTCTGGTCCTAGCACTTTGGGAGGCAAAGGGAGGAGGATTGCTTGAGGCCAGGAGTTCAAGACAAGACCAACATGGCGAAACCTTGACTGTAAAAAAATACAAAAATTAGCCAGGCGTGGTGGTACATGCTTATAGTTGCAGCTACTCAGGAGGCTGAGGCCAGAGGATCACCTGAACCTGGGAGGTCACGGTTGCAGTGAGCCATTATCATGCCACTGCACTCCAGCCTGGGTGACAGAACAAGACTCCGTCTAAAAAAAAAAAAAAAAAAGAAAAAAGGTGTGTTTTATGTGATCTTTTATCTTGAAGACCAGGAAGAGTTTATCTTTAAATGTCCCATTTTACTTCATGTGCCCTTAACTACACAATTGTAACTTACTCTTCACCTTTTGTTTTTTTTTTAATCCTAGTACGTGGATAGTTATGTTGATATATTTGGTTTTAGCCATAGCAAGTTTTGATGTGCATTCTTGTCAATATTGTTTGGTTCAAAAATCTATAAAGGCTCATGATTTTACTAGCTTATGACTTAAAGTTTACTGTTTTAGGAGAATTTTCCCAAATACTCAGTTGACTCGAGTTTATTTCAGCATAAATTTCTTGCAACATACTTTTAAATATTATCTCTTATTAGTTTATGCCATTGTTTTATTACTTTTTTCCTGGGACTCCAATTTTGTGAATAGTGCCTTTGCTTAACTTTGATTTCTACCACTTTTCTGTGACCTGTTTTTTCCTTATGTCATTTTCATTCTCCCGGTTGTTCTTCTACCTTTCTTCAATGCTAGTCATTATTTTTTCATTTGAGTCTATTCTCTTTTGTGGTTCTCTTTTTCTTTAGAAGGTAACTTTTTCTTTCTTTCATTTCTCTTCCAGCTTTAATTAACTATATTTTCATTTCCTTATGTTTTTGCCCATTTTTGTTCTTATTTTTTAGATATCAGGTCGGGACAGTACTTATCAGTTCAACTACACCAAGGTTTCTGAAGACAATGGTGTCTCCACCCAAGCAGGTTGTAAATAAATTCCAGATAGAATCTGGCATCACCCTGGAGGAATTCTAACTTCACACTGTTGAGTGTGAAGTCAATACAACATCACAAATTTACCAAGATGGCTTCAGAGTAAACCAGCTTTACACAGCACATTTGAAAAAAAAAGGCACATTTATTCAGGGTCATGATCAGACTATTACATTTAGCAATCAACAGCATGAGTGCAAAAAAAAATCTACATTAAAACCCTTCGCTGGAATGTTTTACACTTTCCACATAATAGAAACTAAAATAACCTGTTTTACAATTAGTTGAAAATACAGTCCTCGAGTTTTTTGCCCATACACATGAGTATTTGTCTAAAACATGTTTTAATATGTCTTAACACGGACATAAAACATGTCTTAACATGGACAGCTTAACCTAAAAGCCTGAGTCAAAAGGTGAAAGTTACAGAAGACTCTGGGAGGGAAACGTGCAAAAATAGGTACAAAATGCCTTTTAACATAGGTCAGTGGGGAAAACAAGGGCTTAGGTAATAGGGCAGCTAATGGGCCTAGTGGATTAAAATGTTCACTTTATTCCTGAAACCCAGACTGGCTGCTGTAAGTTGATCTGGTGCCTTGGACATTCGTGGCGTCTTTCTTCTATGTCAGCTCTGTCTTCTCTATGCTTCCTCTGGAGGAGGAAGCCTTGACACAATTACACATGGATTGTGTGTTTTTTTTTTTTAACTTCTGAAATTCTATCTTAATTACTCAGCTGATTTGTGCTCGCTTTTTAGAAAAGGGAAAATGGATTAGCATTTGATAAGCACCTACTGTTAGGTACTTCTAGAGACTTTATCACTTCCTGTATTTATGTCTTAGGGGAACTGTAAAAGGTAGTTAATTATTTCCGTTTTGAAGGTGAGGGAAAATTTAGAGATATTAAGTGCTCATGGTCACAAGATGTTAAGTTGTAATTAATAAGTAATTTGTGGGAAAATATTTTGAAGATATTTAAATTTCTTTCTATCAAAATTTTAACCACTACCTATAGCATTCCTATATAATGATTCCTATATAAGCCAG